TCCATGGTTTGGTATGGTGGTTAAAGACCCCAGTCAAAGACAACCTGGAAGTTCTTAAGCAGGGGAAGTTATGCTAGAAAAAAGTCTGGGCCACTATTCAACCAATTTTCTCACATTTATTTACTCCGTCCCTCACATCTCTAAAATGAAAATGAACCTAAGTTTCAAGGGGAAAGATTGGGGGCAGTGTCAGCCAAGAAAGTGATTAACAAGAAGGAAAAGGCAGCCCCTGCTAATTGGGAGGTAGTCGAGAAGGTCTGCCTTCTTGCGGTTGCCAGGCAACACAGGTAAACAGAGGAAGTGGCAGGATCATGGCCACTAACTACAGCGCCAGCCAAGTAAGTACTCTTTTCCATTTCTTTAACGTTAAATTTTGCCTTCCAGATTCCACCTTTGGTCTGACCCCTCCCGTAGGATTCTGATGACTGAATATATAGCTGAGAATGGGGTGAGACAATATTTTTTTACCTCCTCAGCTCCTCAGGGGAGGGAGGGCCCAAGGACAAGAAATAGGTATCTCTGGGTTAAGTTTGTAGGCCCTAACCCAGAGGTCAGCAAACTTTTTCTGAAAAGGGCCAGAGAGTAAATATTTTAGGCTTTGTGAGTCGAGTGACAAAATCAGAGATATTATATAGGTATGAGACAAAACACTTTTCCATAAAATTTTGCCAAAATTCAAAATACAGTAACTGAGTGCAATTTTTTGTAATATTAATGAAAAGCATGAAATTCTTATAGGATGAGAAAATATTTCGGTTAATTGGGGTACAAAGTTAGTGTTCCCCTTTATCAAATCAAGTGCAAATGTTCATCTATAAAAACAATTCTTAGCTTTCTCAGGCCATCCCAAAACAGACAGGAGGATGGATTTGGCCCAGGCCAGAGTTTGCTGACCGCTGGTCTAGACCAGCACTGCAATAAAAAGATAATGTGAGTCACAAATGTAACTTTAAATTTTCTAGTAGCTACGTGAAAAAAATTAAAAATAGTTAATTTTAATAATTTAGCCCCAAATATTATTTCCAACACTTAATATTTTAAGTTATAAAAAAAATAATAAAATAAATAAAATATATATTTTAAGTTATAATCAGATGTTTCATTCGTTTTTGTACTAAGTCTTCAAAATCCATTGTATTTTATATAGTTGACCCTTGAACAAGGCAGGGATTAGGGTACAGATCCCCACACAGTTGAAAATCTACATATAACTTTAGAGTCGGCCCTCCATAACCAGGGTTCCACATCCACAGATTCAACCAACTATTGATCATGTAGTACTGTAATACATATTTATTGAAAAGTACATATTTATTTATTGTAAGTTAACCTGCACAGTTCAAACCCCTGTTGTTCAAGGGTCAACTGTACTTACAAAGCACCTCAATTTGGACTAGTCACATTTCCAACACTCAACAGCCACATGTGGCTAGTGGCTCCATGTTGGACAGCACACAGATGAAACAAATCACATCCTCTCTAAAGTGAGTTAAAGCTTACTTAGCATGGTTGTTCATGCCTTTGGTCTTCAAATCTGAAGAACTGTGCCTAGCTATCATTTCCTGGGCTTGGGGCCTTTGAGTCTCATAGGGATTCTCATCTTTTTCTCCACAGTATGAAAAAGCTTTCTCACCCAAGTATCTACAGAACTGGTCTCTCGCCAAGCCAACAAAAGAGGTATTCCACATTCAGCACACCACAATGCCAGTTTCTGGTTCTTTATGTCACACTCTATGTAATTCATTGGTACCTAACTTCTTTCAGCCTTCTTGGAATTCCCACATCCTCCTCTCCCTCAGTCCTTAATTCAAGCCCTTCAGATACTTTCTTCTACTTTTCCACTCCATGTTCACAAGCACTTCTGTCCCCACCTCTACCCCAGAGGATTTCTTCCCATGAAGGCTACACTCAGATTATCGCCAATGATCGTGGTCATCTGTTGCCTTCAGTGCCCCGTTCCAAGGTGAGATACTCATCTCCATTCTCATCTTGAAAGGTAAAGAACTGAGGCACAGAACTGGAGTTACAGAGCAGGGAGACTTGCAATCTCCTGCAGCTACTATTTAGAAAATTAAAGTGCAAGCTAATTCACGTTGTAACACAAGTGCCCCCAAACTTCCAGCCAGCTTATCCAACAGAACAGGGTCGTGTTTAACACCCAGAATTCCTTAAGCGGATGAATGATCTGTATAAAATGAACACCTTCAGGTGATAACATTTATGCAGTGGGTACGCTGCCAAACTTAACCTAAGGATGTGGAATTTAAGCCAGGAGAGATAAGCAGATGAAAAAATTAGGGTAGCCTAAATGAGAGAGGGGGAAAAGGAAGAGTGGGGAAATTATGCTTTCATTCTTGTTTCATGACGATGCATTCCCAAAGGTAAAGGATGGAAATAAGACAAACGGCCCACCAATAGGTCAGTTACTGGGAGTGAGAAGCCCTGTTGAGGAATCCCATTTTTCCTTTTAGGCAAGTCCTTGGGGTTCCTTCATGGGCACCTGGCAAATGCCTCTCAAGGTACCCCCTGCTCGGGTGACCCTGACCTCCCGTACAGCTGCTGGTGCTGCCTCCCTTACCAAATGGATACAGAAAAATCCTGATTTACTCAAGGCCTCCAATGGGCTACATCCTGAAATCTTAGGCAAGGTATCTATCTGTTCCTCCCATCTAACTTCAGTCCTGTTGTCTTCACTTCTTTTCAACCTCAAAAATGCCTAATGTTATACTACCACAATCCCAGCAGGGGGCTAACCAATTCTGTCTTACCCTATCTAGTCCTTAAATAACCTCTGAGACCTGAAGGGATAAGCTAAGGGGATCTTATCCACACCCTCCCACTCACACCCCGTCCACACAGTACAGAATGAGCTGATCTCAAGGGGAAGTTAACAGTATCAAATTTAACTCTTCTTATTTGAAACCTGACCTTTTGTTCATGGAATGGGGAGAAAGGGATGTAGAATTCTGAGATGGACTGGGAATGATCTAGGCCTAACCTGAAACATAACTGTCTCTTCTATTCCACCCCTGACAGCCCCATGATCCAGACGGTCAGAAGAAACTTGGGAAGTCTATCACAAAGACTGTACAGCAAGCAGCACCAAGTGCAACCATAATCCCAAGCTCCCCAGCATCAAATCTCAATTCCCTAGATCAACTTCAAAGCTCACACCCCTCTGAAGGTCACACTCCAGGTCCCCAAAGCCCACCCAACTCTCCAAAGGGTCCACCTGGAAGCCCATGTATGCTAGAACACTGTGCAGGTCCTAATTTAGCTGAGGTCCAGAAATGCAAACCTGGAACTCCATAAGGGACTAAGGGACCACACTGAGAAAACCTGTCTAGAGATTGAGTGATGTAAGCAAGACCCCCCAGTCAGGGAAATTATGGATGGGAATAAAGGCAAATTTGGAAAATAAACATTGTTTGTTGAATCTTTTACTGATTTGGATTTTTCCCTCCTGCTATATCTGCCTCTTTTAACCCATAACTAGGAGAAGGGTTGGAGGAAACAGAGCAGGGAAAAGAACATGACAGTGGCTTGGGGGTAGAACACATTTTTACAAGGATTGAGTCATTTCCAGAAATGACCAGGAGGAAGTTGGTCTGAATCACAGCAAAAGAAACCTCAAATAACCAGTCTGTCACCCCTACTCGCTCATTTTTCATCCTGAGCATGAACTACAACTTCGAAGTCAGAAGTACAATCATTTAGAGTGTGTGTATGTGCATTTGGAGACGGTGGGAAAGAAAAGGTACAGGAAGCCAGAGTAGAAGACACAATCCTTGTCTAACACTTCATTATCTGATGACAGAACACACAGGGAAAGCAAATTAGAGTTATAAAAGCAAAACTCAAGCAAAAATACAAATATAATTTGAAAACTGAAGATACAGAAGTGATTAGAAGACAGAGAAGAGAAATAAAGGGAGACAACAAGTAGAAATTTAGGACAGAATAACATACATGATGACCACACTGCCACTCCCCTCACCCCAATCACCTGAATGATAAGAAGCCACCAAAAAAGTCCCTTATCTATTTCCCAGCCTCCAATTTCTGTTTATCATTATCCCCATTCTGCATCTTCCTGGCACTGGCGGTTAAATTTAATGCCCTTGCCAAACCTTTCCCAGTTCCATTGCCCAATTGTTCCCTCATGAACACGTATGCCTAACTCCAAGGACAAGTACAGAGGACATTTGTATATGCTGGAGGAAGGCTACAAAGACTTCCCAGGGCCAGTGTAGCAAAAAGGGAGAAGTGATCATCACTTAAAGCCAAAGACTACTTGGGAGCTGGGATGAAGACTGTTGAGGCAACTAAATAAGGTCTTCCTCTCTAACTGACACCAATTACAGCCACTGTTACTTCTCTCCAACCCACAGCTTTAACTGGTTGGCGAAAAACTCAGAGTGACAGACAAGATAGGCCTGTCACCCCCGAGTTTCCAAATACTATCAAAACAGCACTCCTGTCAAGGCAGTTAGGGACCCAAAAGCCTGGCCTACATGGATTATAAAAAGTAGCAAGTTTTCTCATTAAACTATAAATGTTTGCCAGGTTTCCAACAATCTCTCCTTTCTAACCTCTACTCTCCTTTCTCCCCAAATGGAATACTTAGTTCATATTCATAGTCCCTTGGCTGTCCCCTCCATTGTTCCACTGGATCATAATTTGCTGAACTGTACCTTAAGGCTTATAATAATCAGTTCTCAGTGGGATTTTGGAGCCTGTAATAACCAAAAAGCTCTCCACATGCTTAACTTCCTCTCTCTTGCTCCTTCCTTCTCTGAGGTTTCGGGAAGATGTTAAATCCATGGCTACTTGCATTTGATTCCCTGAAAATTTTTCCAGTGGTCACTTGTAGGACAAACTGTTTCCCTCCTGAGAAAGGTCAGATTGGGGGATGTAATCGCCTGAGACCAGAGGGAGGGGGAGGAAATTGGCTCCTCCCCAACCACCATTGTCTTGGTTTCTCAAGATATCAAGGAGAGTCAAAGACAAAATAATAATTTTAATTCTGTTTCAGAAAAAGCTGTCGCATGAATTTGGATTAGAAAACATGACAATAAGAGGTTTGGTTTTTCTGGAAATGCAAGGAAGAGAAATAATCCTTAATAGGTTCAGTGATAGTTTTCTGGATCTTCCTCTTGCATCAAAAGCTATATATCTTCTTCTCCCCAAAGCATGTGCTCCAAGAGCCAACTTACTCTCTTCATCTCCCTCTAGCCAGGACAGGCTAATTCCCCTCCACCCCCACCCCTCTTCTTTCAGTCACGTTGTGTGGGTGTTAAAGACCCTGGGCTCTGACCAATTAACAGAATTGTCCTTTAAGCCAGCAACCCACAGGCAGTGGCAACCCAAGCCCCACTCCCAGTCCCCATGGCAGAGGCCACAGAGTGGCATTGTTTCCACTGTCTTAGGAAGAAGCCAAAAGCTGACCCTCAGCACAAATCAAGGCCTAATATGGAGAGAGAATGAGGGCTCCCAGGCCCAGAGTAGGCTGCAAGCTGGGGGCAGGAAAAGGGAGTCTTTACAGTCATTCCATCTTTAGAAATAAGGGGAAAACTGGATCCTTTTCCACTACTCTGGTTCTATAAGGTACTCTTACTGCTGAGCTCCAAGGGGATCTGCAAGCACAAAAGGGTCTAAACAAATCAAGATAACTTTGCCCTGGCTTAAGATAAGAGTAACAAACAGGAAGATGGGTCAATGCAATAACTGGTAGGAAGACGATGCTGGGAACGTCGGCTCTTCACATGGCTGCCAGCCCTACAGAGGACAACACGGTAAGAACCAAGACAATCATTCCAGACTGGTATAGCTGGGAAATCGTCAGGCCTTTTCCTAGGTCCCACATCTGTAGAAATAAGAAAAAAAAAATTCTTTTCAGCAATCAGGGTCCTGGTCACTCTCACAGTTCCTTTCTCAGAAAGGAACTCCACCTATGAACAGGCAATTTCTCTCAGCATGATTCTAGAGAAAAGCTCTTCTCCCCTTATTCCTGACCTTCACTTTCCTCAAAACCCACAATACAGTAACGACCACCCACTTATCCCAATGACAGTAAAGGGATCCACCCTCAGCCCATAAGATCTTCCAGAATGAATAAAAAGTTTCTCTCGTGACAAAAAAACTGATCAATGTTTCCCAAAGTGTGTTTCTCCAAAAACTAGTTCCTCAGAATGTTAAAAGGCATTACACAGGGGAAAAAAGTTCTGTAATCAAATTAATTTGGTAAAAGTTTAACTACAAGACTTCTCAAACTATTAATGCACACTGTTAATCTCCAAAATGGGGATATAATGTACATGGTTTCCTAGCTATAGCCAACCACAGAATCCCCTTTGAGAAGGAACATTTGTCCATCAGAGGACTAGTGTGTTTTTTTTTTAATAAATTATTTATTTTTGGCTGCATTGGGTCTTCATTGCTGCGCACAGGCTTTTCTCTAGTTGCAGCAAGTGGAGGTTTCTCTTGTTGTGGAGCACGGGCTCTAGGCACGCAGGCTTCAGTAGCTGTGGCATAAGGGCTCAGTAGTTGTGGCTCATGGGCTCTAGAGCACAGGCTCAGTAGTTGTGGCGCTTGGGCTTAGTTGCTCCGTGGCATGTGGGATCTTCCCGGACCAGGGTTCAAACCTGTGTCTCCTGCATTGGCAGGCGGATTCTTAACCACTGTGCCACCAGGGAAGTCCAGGACTAATATTTTTTAAAAATACTCTTTGGGGTCTAGAACACTATTTCTCAATTTTGTTTTGACTGTGACCCACACCCCCAACTAAGAAATATCTTTTTAATTAGTATCCAGTGTGTGTGTGCGTGTGTGTGTGTGTGTGTGTGTATAAAATATATAATATATAAAAGTTCATGAAACAATAAGCAATATTTATCATTACCATGTGTGTTATATTCTATATGTTGTATTCTATTTAAATTTCTTTTTTTTGTTGATAGCAACCCACTATATTGATTTTCTACCCATTGAGTCTAAAAAACACAATTTAAAAAATACTGATCTAGACTCTCTTGTGCTCTAGGGACATTAACATATTGTACTCTAAAAGATCTAGGGCAAAAGTAGAGTCTTCAGGTTTCACACTTTCCACATATGACTGTCTCAACACACACATATACCTATACCCTGAATGTAAAACTGAATAAATTAGGATTGCTTCAGAGAAAAATTAGACAGCCCCCAAAATAATCAAGATGAGAAGATGCCCCTACCTCAGCTGCCAAAGAGCTTCTACCTAGATAAGATTAGGAATCAAACAGATTCCACAAAAAGCTGTTTTGCTTATAAAGGCACAGTGTTTTACCAAAAAATCGAGTCCTACTGGGTGGTGGTGATGGGGGAATATTCTCTAGCATACCAGAGACCTTGTCACTTCCTACTCTCTTAATATCAATTCCACCCTCCACTCCCCCACTAGATCTTCTGGCAAGGCAATTATCAAGCTGTGAGTGCAAGAACTATGGACTGTCACAGAGAACAGATAAAAATCCTGTCCCACACTCAGAGCCAGGACTTGCTAAAAGAACAAACAAAAGCAGATTTAAGGGATTAAGAAAAGCCTTGACTTAGTTCTGACATTTTATAAAATCTCTTCCCCTTCCCTCCCCCCCATACTGAGACAAAAGCAAATATATGGCAAGTCCCTGCCTGAGCCAGGATGCCAACAAAGGAAGCTGATCAGCTGATTCCATTAGAAAGCTTTGTTCTGTGGAATAAGAAGTCATTAATGGAAATGCCCTCCCTCTCCATCCCCTCCTCCTGAGGGAAGTGAAGTCATTTTGAATCAAACTGAACACTGCCCCAGGGAACAGTTGATAGATACACTTAATTTAATAGATCATTTAGTCTCTCATGCTTCTGATTGCATTAAACTGTCTACTGGACCAGAATACAATTCAGAAAGTGCTTATCTCTAGGCTCTGATGTGGAAGTTATGAAAGGTCAAATTAAGGCAAGAGCATCCAACTGACAGATGGCTTAGGTTGAGAAAGTATGGAAAACCAGAAAGAATAAAGCTGTAATTATCTTCCTGGGGAAGGAAGCAAGACTAGGGGTAGGGAGACCACAAAATATAAATCTTAAAATGCTGTAGGAGAGACTCATCTCTGACCTGGGGCAGGTTTGATTAAGCTTTAATTCCTTAATAAAGAGAAGGAGACACCAGTTTGAACTGACCCCAAGGTCACGTAGGAGGCAACATGGTCAGATTTCAGGCTATCAAAAGATTCCTAAACTCAATATTGGGATCCTAGCACCCAGCTGCTTGTTAAAGTTGGCCCCATTCTCTCTAATAGTTCAAAACAAACAAAAAAACAAAAGCAGTTAACACAATCCAATATCAAGATAATAAACGTCAGAATATTTGACTCCAGCCAAATTTGTCACTCTGTGTTGACAGGAAGTTTATACTGAAAGCAGTAACTATTATTTGTCTGATAAATATGCCTTCTATGCCAGATGTATGGCCTGGCTTCATGGGTCTCTTTTAGTAACATCCCTCTTGAAACTAAAAGAGTTCACTGAGACCCTGCAAGAATCTGCCAGGCCTACATCCAGTCTCAGCTACATCACCAGCTGGGCTACCTGGCAATGCACAGGGCATCTAGTTTAGCTTTCCCCAAGAGGCCCCTGAACAAAGGTCCAGCACAACTAACTTTAAGAACAGCACTAAACCCAGACCAGGAAAGAGAAAATCCTTCCAGGCTCTCCATTCCTTTCACCCAGAAAATGTACAAGTCTACAATTAACTTACCAAGTGTCGGATCCCATTCCAGGTGTGATACGTGAGAGGGAAGACAAGTGCAAATTTGGCTGTGTGGATCAGCGCTGGCCCCAAACACAGGGACTTTACAAGTTCCAAATGAGACTCAAAACTCCCAGGGACCAAGAGGGCTGACAAGCCAAAAAGAGAGACCCCTGCGGAGAAACAAAGTAAGCCCGTCACAACTACACACCAGCTACAACCAATGTAACACATAAAACTGGGTTCTATGACAGCCCCTAGGACTTCACACAATTCTAAACCATTTTAAAATGGGGAAGATTTAAACTAATGTTCACATTCACAGTGGAAGATACGTTATTTGGAATCTGACCCTAATCTCTTAAATTTGCCATATATTTTAGCATATTGCTCCTTCTTTCAACATTTCTCTATAAAAACTCTATAAAAACTTCACCCATCATTTTAGAAGCCACCTCTGGCTGCATCTATATCATCATCTCAGTAAGAAAAAATAATAACAGTACATTCAGTCCAAGGAAAAGAATGGGAAAAAATTTTAAATCACTCAAATCTCTACCATACAAAAATTTAATTCAATATGGATCAGAGACCTAAATGTAAGAACTAAAACCATAAAACCAAGAAAACATGTGAGTAAATCTTTACGACCTTGGATTAGCAGTGGTTTCTTAGCTATGACAGCAAACCAGAAGCAACAAAATAATAAATTGGACTTCATCAAAATTAAAAACTTTTGGGTGCCGTCCATTTCTCCATCAGTCTGGAAGAATGCTGGTGCTGAGAATAACTACCATGGCTTGCAGCTCTTTGACGAAACCTCAGATGCGTCAGAATTTTATAGCATTCATAGGAGAAGCAAAGGCTGAAGGAAGACATGCTGTCCACACCCTAGGATGAGGCAGCCACGTCAGAGTCTGGTCTCCTAGAGGTTAGTGTTGCTGAGTGGCTATTCCTAGGACTCAGTTAGTAGACTGCTGTCACATTTGCTGCACAGATCAAAGCTGAGCCTGGTATCTGAGGCATATGTGTGGCTGTCGAGGTTTCGGAACTTCAGGTTTGCACTGAAATTCAGAGGATAGTGGGGAGCTCCTGTGATCGTCTAGCTTCCTATCTATCCAGGCTGTCAAAGATCCTTGAACGCTCTTGGGTCATATCTTCCTCCCAAACCTTCTCAAACTATCTCAGTTCCATGGTACCTCAGTGTTTTCAGCAATTTTTTTCATGATGCCCCCAAGCCAAAAGAAAAACCTAACAGTTCTGTTTATTAAGTAGTTAGATTCAAACAACTCAAATATTTATGTCCTAACAATTTAGTAGCTATGTGAAAAAAATTATCCTTGTAAACGGAAAGAAAAAACTTTTATTCTTAAATAACCGGAGTTACCTACTAATATGTTGTTGGATACTGTACATCTCAAACCTCAGAAATTAAATTGGACATTACCATGCTCATTTCCTGTTCCACACTGACATTCACACAAGTCGGATTAGAGAATCAGACCTTCAGTGAGAGACCAGGCAAACCTAGTGCTCAGGCAGTCAGCTTTGTTTCTAGAAAAGCCAAAGGACTTACAGATTTATAAAGTAATAAACGGAACTCTGAAATTACTGTTTTATTCTCTTGGGCTTTCTGTGAGATGGGACATGAATTATTGATTCTCAAATGTGATATGTCATATGTTAGGAATCCCAGTCATTCCAGACAGAGGCAGTATAGAGAGAGTGAAAAGTGCACAAACTTTGGTTAAGACAGATCTGAGTTCAGTTCTGTCACTAACTAGCTACTATATCATCACTTCCTTCTCTGCTTATAATAATGCCTAGTTAGGACTGTGAGAATTAAATTAAATACATATATATAAAGTTCCTAATACAGGCCTGGTAGTGATTATTATTTACATTAATAGTTGGAATATTTAATCTTTTACCTCTCAGAAAATGTCTGATCATTTGTACCTAAAAATCTCATTCTCAGCCCTTCCTACTCCATGTCTTAGTCCTTGAATTGTCAAGAGGGGATGACCTGGAAAAACTGATTGTCACCAGAAGAGAAAATGCTTCTCAGAAATGCTTTGTTTTCCCTCAATGCATGAATACTCCTGCCCGCCACATGCCGCCCCCCCCACAAGGCTGCAGGGAAGCAGACAGGCAGAATATATGAGATTAGTTTGACAACACTTCAGCTAGGACAGCAATCAGGTACTGCCAACCTGAGTTTTAATCATCATTTGGACAGGTCCACCAAGTCCCTTTTAGATGTTTTCATTTTCTTTGGCAGTGACATCTGCAGAGGCTTGCTGGGAAGAAGTGTCTGAAAGAACTTATGATGGCTTCTGGAAGTGGCAACGGGACTTACTGACAATCCGCACAGTTCTGTATGTAGCACTTAACTGCAGAGGAGCAGGCTGAAGTTGGTCTTGGCAGCCAAGTGAAAGCACCATTTAATTTTTCTTAGTGATTAGATGGGACAGCTTCAGTGGCTTTGTTTTCATAATTTAAATTGTTTGGCTGTTAGAGGAGTCCCTCCTCAGGCACTCAGATTCTAGGAGGAGAGGCTACTTCCTGCCTTCCAGTACACTAGACATCAGAGGAGGATTTAGGAAATTTCATATTTAATTTCTTCTCATATACTTTTCATTTGTAAAGAGGAAAGCTTTGGCCAAAATCTCTTCTGATTAACTTACTGATACTGATATTCCTTGTTTGAAGATGTGATACAGTAAGAAATACCTATTTGGTCTTTTTCCCCCAATTCCTGGCACACAGCTCCTAAAACCCTTGTAATCTCTGGAATGAAAGGAAAGGTTTTTTGTATGCTAATGAGATAATTAGTAGCTGGGGGGGGAGGGGGGCGGGCGGCTAGACAGCTGCAGGATGGGGTCTAGCTGCCAGAAAGACCAAGGCATGATTTGAGGATTGGGACTTTTAGTCCCATACCTCCCTCCCCTTCCCTGTCCACCTCCCTCCCCCAACCCCACCACACCTGGGAGTGGCTGGTGATTGAGCTAATCACCAATGGCCAATGATTTAATCAACCTTGCTTAGGCAATGAAGCCACCATAAAACCCCCTAAACTACAGGACTTGGACAGCTTCCAGGTCACTGAACACAAAGATGTACTGGGAGAGTGGTGTGCCCAGAGAGGGCATGGAAGCTCCATACATACTCCCCTCTCTGCTCCCCCATACCTTGCCCTGTGTATCTCCTCCGTTTGTTTTTTTTTTTTTTTTTTTTTTTTGCGGTACGTGGGCCTCTCACTGTTGTGGCCTCTCCGGTTGTGGAGCACAGGCTCCGGACGCGCAGGCTCAGCGGCCATGGCTCACGGGCCTAGCTGCTCTGCGGCATGTGGGATCTTCCCAGACCGGGGCACGAACCCGTGTCCCCTGCATCGGCAGGCGGACTCTCAACCACTGTGCCACCAGGGAAGCCTCGTTTGGTTTTTTAAATAAAGGAGTTGAGGACTTCCCTGGTGGCGCAGTGGTTAAGAATCCACCTGCCAATGCAGGGGACACGGGTTCGAGCCCTGGTCCAGGAAGATCCCACATGTCACGGAGCAACTAAGCCCGTGCACCACAACTACTGAGCCTGCGCTCCTAGAGCCCGAGCTCCGCAACAAGAAAAGCCACCGCAATGAGAAGCACATGCACTGCAACGAAGAGCAGTCCCCGCTCGCCACAACTAGAGAAAGCCTGAGTGCAGCAACGAAGACCCAATGCAGCCAGGAAAAAAAAGTTCTGAAGCAAGTTTAAAAAAAATAATAAAATAAAGAAGTTGATCCTTTATTTTAAAAACCAGTATGTCTTGGGACTTCACTGGCGGTCCAGTGGTTAGGACTCCACACTTCCAATGCAGGGGGCACAGGTTCAATCCCTGGTCACGGAACTAAGGTCCCACAAGCCACATGGCAAAAAAAAAAAAAAAAAAAGAAACAAAACAGTATGTCTAAATAAAGTGTCTTCCTGAGTTATGGTGAGCTCTTCTGTAGCAAATTATCAAACCTTAGGAAGGGGTCATGGGAACCCTGATTTACAGCTCAAATTTTATATATTTAATTCTCACAGTCCTAACTAGGCATTATTATAACCAGAAAAGATAGTGATGATACAGTAGCTAGTTAGTGACAGAGCTGGAATTGAACTCAGGTCTAACTCCAAAGTTTATGCTCTTTTCTCTTTCTCTAAACTGCCTCAGTCGGGAATGACAAGGGTATAACACATCACATTGGAGAATCAATAACGCCGGTCCCATCTCATGAAAAGCCCAGATGAAAAAAACAGTCATTTCAGAGTTCCATTAGTTACTTTATATATCTATAAGTCCTTTGGCTTTTCTAGAAAAGAAACGACTGCCTGAGCAGTAGGTTTGCCTATACAGTCAAGTGACCTTTCACTGAAGTTCTGATTCTCCAATCTGACCTGTTTTTAAAGACTATCCAAAACATTCAGGACCATTCTTCTACCCATTCAAGTTAATTGTACAATTTATTTATAGTTGTATTCCTCTAAAATATCTGTTGTTTGGCACTCATATTTTCTTTTTTGAATCTCATTCTTTTTATTGTTGTATGTTGCATCTTGATTACCCTTTCCCAGTCTCATTCACATTGCAGCTTCAGGTACCTGTCATTCTCAAGCATTTACCTAATTTCACCTAGATTTTTATACTGTCTATCACTATGAAAAATCACGAGTATTTTAATCCCTACAGAATCTAAGCAATGAAAGAGTGTTACTAGCCTTCTCTCTCCATCTTTTAAAGGACTGCTTGTAAAGGTCTTCCTCAATAAATTCTATATAAAGTCAAACTAGTGTCATCATGCTTTTCTAGTTCAACATGCTTTTCAGAAGTTATATATTGGCCACAAAATCTCTATAGTCTGAATAAATACCTAATCATGGACTTGTCTAGGCCAAACAAATGAGAACATGAACCTTTTATGACTTCCCATGGTCAATGGGATCAAGTTCCAACTTCTCAGCACAGCAGTCAAAGTCCTTTACTGTCTGGCGCACTTTCCAGCCTTATCTTTTGCTGCTTCTCCCATAACACAACTCTTAAACAAGCAGATCTAGTTATCATTATCCAGGACTCTGGATGCTTTCCAAGCCCTGTGCCTTTGTATAAGGTAGTCTATCCACTGGAGAGTCCTCCTCTACCTCCTTTTCATGAATTCTCCTACTCATCCTTCTTTCAAGTTCTCAAATTCCTGAAGAGTTGTTCTCTCCTCTGGGATCTCATATCTCTATTAAGAAGTTATCACAGTGCATTATAAATATTTATTTGTCTTACTCCTTAGACTCTTTCACCCTTGAGGGTAGAGGCTATTATTATCACTAACCAATTTCTAATGCATAACAGGAGATTAATTAGAAGTTAGAAGGAACGAACATATCTGAAATGACCACTATGAGCAAAGTGATTTACATGGTTGTACTCATTTAGTAAATAAAGATTAACTAAGCACCTACTGAGTGCTAGAGGATATGAAAGGTAAATAAGATAGATGCAGTTCCTACTTTATGAAGAGTTTACAGCCTAATAAAAGAGACAGATTTATAAAAACTAAGCAAATAAAATAATTACAAGTTATATAATAACCTAAGGAATGGTAACATAGGAATGGTAACATCGGATCTTAGATAGGAATTCCTATCTTTACTTGCTTACCAACAAAACTAATCTAATTGTGAACAGCAGAGACTTAGTTTTGGATAATTCCTCCAATGTCTCAGCAGCTGCTCCCTAAATACAGGATCCCTATATTTGAGCCACTAGTCCTGTTGATGACCACTTCAGTGAAAACACACTCTACAGAAGTCAAGGAGGGGCCCCCAAAGGATATTATGAAAAACAAAAATATGTCCATGTCTCCAGCACTAGCCAGAGAAAACTTTTAAAATACAGCTGATCCTCTTATAAAGTACCTCCCTACTGTGGAAAGATCCATCAGACTCCAGAAACCTGACTATAATCTGTACATCCTACCTGTAATAAACCTTACTACCTGAAAAGGATGCACTAAGACCAGCATACGACTCACTCTGCAGCTGTATTTCATATCATATAAATAAAGAAATAGACATTCTGATTTTTAACCAAGAATTTTTGAGATTGGAGAATGAGTTAATGTTTTTGCACCTGATCAATTCTAGGTGATGAAAACTGGGTGCTAAAACTGAGTTTCTGAAAGAATAAGGTTGATGGTTAATCTTGGACTGTGTTTGGTCAGTCAGCCAATCTATCTCCATTATATTTCTATATCTGTTCTCTGTAATGACAAACATACTATCAGGACATGCTAGGGATGATTTAAAAATTGGCTAAGAAAAGATAAGAAAAAGAATTAAAAAAAGAAAAAAAATTGGCTAAGAAAAGAACCTGAGCATTGTGTGAACTCATAATTAATTGTTAAAGAAATGAACAAACAATAAGCTTAAATGACTTATCATTTTCTCTAAATCAAGTTTCTGAGTAGGCACTGCCAAGGAGGCATTGCCAAGAGCCAAAGAAACAGCAAAGTTTTTCAAAGCAGTATGTGTGTGTGTTTTTGTGTTCACGTGTGCATAAAAACATACATACATACCTGCACTCAAGGCAATACCAGTGCCACGGTGGCAAATGGACATCACCATGGGAAGAGACCATCTGAAAAGAAACACACAAAAGCAATTTAAAAAAAAGGAATAGGGCACAGTGGTTGAGAGTCCGCCTGCCGATGCAGGGGACACGTGTTTGTGCCCCGGTCCGGGAAGATCCCACATGCCGCCGAGCGGCTGGGCCCATGAGCCATGGCCGCTGAGCCTGCACGTCCGGAGCCTGTGCTCCGCAACGGGAGAGGCCACAACAGTGAGAGGCCCGCGTAACAAAAAAAAAAAAAAAAAGGAATAGATGACACCATAGTAGAGAGTCCGTCTTGGCAAAGAGAATATAAACCACTTCGGAAATAGGCAACCATTTATCACAAAACAAAAACAAACAGCTTTCACATTCCTGTGTTTCCACTCTCTAATTTGAAAATAAGAACAATGAAGTATTTAAGGAGATGCATTACTCCCTTTTCCAGACTGCATCACTAACAGAGCTAAGAGGAGGAATCAATTAAAACTCAAACTCCTCCTTTCATAAGAAGAAGGAACATGGGTCAAAAACATCAATAAAAGTTGCATACAGTTAGAAAATAAACACTAGATTACAACCACCTGGGTCCTTCCATTTCTCCAGTCATAAGACAGAAGTAGAAGAAAACCTGAGTTTTATTTATCCACTGTTTCACATAACATACAGTCATCCATGATCTTTCTTATTATATACCCCAAAATATCCAAATTGAGCATATCAGTCATTCCCTAATAAATTACCTATCCCAAATTTAAAATCCCATTTTGCTGGATTTAGTATATGTTCTTAATCCACAGTAGTTTTAAAATACTTTGTCATCAAACCACTTTTTAAAGCATGTTCTGGGACTTCCCTGGTGGCGCAGTGGTTACCAATCCTCCTGCCAATGCAGGGGACACGGGTTCAATCCCCGGTCCAGGAAGATTCCCAGATACCGCGGAGCAACTAAGCCCATGGGCCACAGCTACTGAGCCTGCGCTCTAGAGCCTGCGAGCCACAGCTACTGAAGCCCGTGCACCCAGAGCCCGTGCTCCACAACAAGAGAAGCCACCACAATGAGAAGCCCGCACACCATAACGAAGAGTAGTCCCCACTCGCCGCAGCTAGAGAAAGCCCGCGTGCAGCCAAGAGGACCCAACACGGTCAAAAATAAATAAATTAATTAATATAAATAAATAAATCATGTTCTGATTTCTCTGTCTGCCAAAGCATTTCCATTGAAGGACAACCAACACTGCTACATTCTGGACCTAGTGCTCATGCTCAAGAGGGAACTGGTTAGTGAAATGGAAAGAACAGGCATCTTTGGATAAAGTTAACATTCATCCTGGAAAGTCAGCTTAGATAGAGAATGCTGAGCATAATCAGACCACGTACTCCATACTCTAAAGGGAAGCAACTCAAGTAGGTTGAAAGGACCGCAAAAGGAAATTCTATGTATTAAAAATGGTCACAGTAAGAAAGGAGTAATGTCTAAAGAAACCAAAAAAACTGGCTAGACACCACTCTCATTAACTCAGACTAACAAGATAAATATAAAAGGCAGAAGAAGAGCCTCACAACAAAGGACAAGCGGAGAACAGTGGCATAATTTGATTAGAAGAATCAGGAGACTAAAACCCAGAATGAGCTGAGGCTTGCAAAAATGTCAAGGACAACAACAAGGGGCTTTTAAAATTGTATTCAGGGAAAGACAGCCTCCTAACTAGGGTTGACAATTTTATGTTAATGGATGACAGAGTGCAAAGCAGATTGCTCAACTATTTTATTTGTCAAAGAGAATGATTATCAGACTGAAAAAGACAGAACAAATATTGATTTGAAAGAAAAAAAAAAAGGTCGGGAAATTATAAGACACTGCTTAGCATTCCAAGTGCACTTAGGGCTCCTGGCAAGATCAATTAAATCCCAAGAGCTAACACATGGAATATATGCACTGTTCTAGTAATCTTTTAGACATACTGAAATGGAAAATGGGAGTGATAAAGTCAAATGTTACCCTCATTTAAAAAAAATGGTTAGGCTTCCCTGGTGGCGCAGTGGTTAGGAATCCGCCTGCCAGTGCAGGGGACACGGGTTCGAGCCCTGGTCCGGGAAGATCCCACATGCCGTGGAGCAACAACTACTCCACGCCCGTGTGCCACAACTACTGAAGCCCGTGCACCTATAGCCCGTGCTCCGCAACAAGAGAAGCCACCACAATGAGAAGCCCACGCACCACAATGAAGAGTAGCCCCCACTCACTGCAACTAGAGGAAGCCAGCACGCAGCAACGAAGATCCAATGCAGCCAAAAATAAATAAATTAATTAATTTAAAAAAATTTTTTTAATTAAAAAAAATGGTTAAAACCATAGCCTGGTTAGCCTAGTACTGAGTAGGTAAGGGAGATTTTATTTTCCAAACAACCATGATATTATTTCCAGTCTCACATGATCTTCCAGAATCTTGTCACTCCTCATCAGGCAGCATTTATATTTAGCGCCTTGACTCCGGACAGGACTTCATGACTGACTGCCTCAAGATACAGAATGCAGCAGAACTGACACTGCACGAGTTCCAAATCACTTGCCCTCCTTCTATCCCTCCATCCCTTCATCCATCCCTCTCTTATGCAATATGGAAGCCCAAAATAGCCTCAGCAGAGAGATCATGTAACAAGACCCATGTAGAGAGAAAAACGAAGTCCCCTCTAAGAGCCAGAATCAACCCAAAATGTGAGTAAACGGATCTTCAAATTATTTCAGTCCCAGCCTTGTGTTCTCTAGTTGAGGCCTCAGACATCATGGAGCAGAGACAGATCATCCCCACTATTTCCTTTCAAACATCAGATAAGAGTCAAGCACAGAAAATCAAGATTGTTTAAATTCACTTACAGAAAAGATGATCACTAGGAGCCAGTATGATTTCCCTTTGGAAAATTTTTTTTCAGGAAATACTGAGATCCTTTTGAACACAGATTATATCTTATTCATCTTTGTATTTCCAACTCCTAAAAAAGTACCAAGCACACTGTGAGCAACTAACAAATATCTACTGATTTGAAGTGTGTTAAATTTCTTTCCTTTTTTGACTGTTAGTAGAATGTTAATCAAGGAAAAGCTAGAGACATAAGATATATGATTTTCAGCAAGTGACCTAACATCACGCTGCAAACAATACCACCAAAAAAGTAAAAAGCAAAGAAGATATATAAATGGCCAGTAAGTATATGAAAAGATGCTCAGCATCACTAATCATTAGAGAAATGCAAATCAAAACCATAATGAAATACCTCTTCACATCCATTAGGATGGCTATTATTAAAACAACAACAAAAACAGCAAATCACAAATGTTGGCAAGGATGTGGAGAAACTGGAACCCTTGTGCACTGCTGGTGGAAATGTAAACAGTGCAGCCCTTGTGGAAAACAGTATGTTGCTTCCTCAAAAAATTAAATATAGGGACTTCCCTGGTGGTGCAGTGGTTAAGAATCTGCCTGCCAATGCATGCGACACAGGTTTGAGCCCCGGTCTGGGAAGAACCCACATGCTGCGGAGCAACTAAGCCCATGCGCCACATCTACTGAGCCTGTGCTCTAGAGCCCGCAAGCCACAACTACTGAGCCCATGCACCTAGAGCCCATGCTCTGCAACAAGAGAAGCCACCACAATGAGAAGCTATGCACCGCAACGAAGAGTAGCCCCCGCTTGCCTCAACTAGAGAAAGCCCGCACACAGCAAAGAAGACCCAACACAGCCAAAAATAAAGAAATAAAATAAATTTATATAAAAAAATTAAATATAGAATTACCATATGATCTGGCAATACCACTTTGAGGATATACCCAAAAGAATTGAAATCAGAGATTCAAAGAGATATTCGTACACCCATGTTCATAGCAGCATTATTCACAAGAGCCAAAAGATAGAAACAACACAGAAATCCATGGACGAATTAATGGATAAGCAAAATGTGGTATATACGTAAAATGGGATATTATTCAGCTTTAAAAAGGAATTAAATTCTGACACATTCTTCAACATGGATGAACCTTGAAGACGTTATGCCAGACGAAATAAGCCAGATACAAAAGGACAAACATTATATGATTCTACCTTATGAGGTACCTAGAGTAGTCAAATTTATAGAGACAGAAACTTGAATGGTGGTTGCCAGGGGCTGGGGGCAGAAGGGAATGGTAATTATTGTATAGTTTCAGTTTGGGAAGATGAGAGGATTCTGGAGATGAACAGTGGTGATGGTTGTACAACAATGTGAATGTACTTACTGCCACTGAACTATACACTTAAAAATGGCTAAACTGGCAAATTTTATGTTATATACATTTTACCACAATTTAAAAAAAGTAAAAAGACAACCCAACTTAAAAATGAGCATATGGGCCTCCCTGGTGGCGCAGTGGTTGGGAGTCCGCCTGCCGATGCAGGGTATACGGGTTCGTGCCCCGGTCTGGGAGGATCCCACGTGCCACGGAGCGGCTGGGCCATGGCCGCTGGGCCTGCGCGTCCGGAGCCTGTGCTCCATGGCGGGAGAGGCCACAGCAGTGAGAGGCCCGCGTACCGCAAATAAACACATAAAAAGATACTCAACGTCAATAAAGGTTGTCAGAAAAAAAAATGGACTTAGATCTATTTTATACGGTTCAAGGTAGAACTAGAACCACTGTACAGAAGATGTAAGTTGTAGTAAGTTCAATAAAATGAGGGTCTTTCTGATAATAAGAGAAATTCCCAAATTGGAAAAGGGTGATAGTGAGTTCCTTTTCTCTGGAGGTGTGCAAGCATAGGTAGACATCCATTTATGAAAATACTGCAGAGGAAATTCACTCATTAGGTACAAGAGTGGCTTTTAAACATTTTTATTTTTATTTTTTTATTATTATTATTTTTTTGAGCAGCACTCTTTCTTCAAATGCAAAATCCTTAAAGTCACGTTGCTTTGGTTATCCAGGACTAAGGGCCTACAGTGCAATTTGCATGTTGGCCAGCCCCACACGACTATCCGCAGAAGCTTAATGGAATATCCAAAGCCCCAAGTAGCAGTCTTAAAACCAATGAGGTTGAAGAATAAATTAAAATTTAAGAACGTTTCTAAGTTTTTAAACTATTTTCTAATGTCCTTTAGAATGACTTGTTTTCCCAATAATGTAATCCCTATATACACTTTTGCTTTGATAAGCTGACTTAATTTATTAAGAGATAAAGAGAACTTCAGGGACTTCCCTGGTGGCACAGTGGTTAAGAATCCGCCTGCCAATGCAGGGTACATGGGTTCGAGCCCTGGTCCCGGAAGATCCCACATGCCGCAGCGCAACTAAGCCCGTGCGCCACAACTACTGAGCCTGCGCTCTAGAGCCCATGAGCCACAACTACTGAAGCCCGCGTGCCTAGAGCCCATGCTCCGCAATGAAGAGTAGCCCCTGCTCACCACAACTAGAGAAAGCCTGTGTGCAGCAACGAAGCCCCAACGCAGCCAAAAATAGATAATAAATAATTTATTTTTTAAAAAATTAAAAAAAAAGAGTACTTCAGAAAGGGCTAACTTAACCATATACTTCCGTGCTACCTCCAAAAATCTATAAAAGTTAGCAACAGAAAATATGATTCCAGATATCTCAGAAATCTTTCCCAGACATTTCACTTTGGAAACAGCTCTATGTTTCCTGTCTAGAGTTTCATAACCAAAGAGCAAACAAGGTAGTTTAAGTCTCATCTCATCAGCTCATTACTGTTTGTTATATGAGCTGTGAAAAAAGGCCAGGGCTTTAAATATAGACTCAAAATAAATTGAGAAGTTCTTCATCATTATAATCCTCCCCCACATCTTTCATCTCTTAAAAATAAGTTTTACCATAAAGTAGCAAGGATTGAGATCACTTATTAATCTTCTGTTTTAGTAGAATGTCCAATTTCTACTGTTCAATCAGAATTATTTCTGGAATCTGGCTTGGAAAAAATCTGAAGGGTTGTGGTATTTGTGGAGGTGGTTAAAATATGATCAGCCTCCCTGGCAGGAACCCAAGTAAAGACGGTAGCTGAGCTCAAGATGATTTGCTGAGTTAGCTAGAAAGGAGCAGATCTATAGGGGTTTTTGGGGAAGACACCAGCATAACAGCCATCAATGCTACTTCTGAAGACAACAAATTAACAGAAATAGATGTACGTATGCATATGTATATACTCACATATACACATGTACATGTGTGTATTCATATACATATCTCATAGATCTATCTACTGAAACAGCCTAGAAGCAATGATATCCTGGTAGCAATGAGCACATCTAGCATCCAGACCTTGATTTCACAGGAGCCATCTTGAAATAACTCCCACTAGCTAAGGCTGGGACAATCTGAACAACAAAATAAATCAGAGTAACAGTGTAACTCTTTGGGCAAAATAGGAATTGTGCAATAATAGGAAAAAAAAAATACATATATATATATACATATTTTTTAAATTAATTAATTAATTTTTGGCTTTGTTGGGTCCTCGGTGCTGCTCACGGGCTTTCTCCAGTTGCGGCGAGTGGGGGCTACTCTTCATTGTGGTGCGCGGGCTTCTCATTGCGGTGGCTTCTCTTGTTGCGGAGCACGGGCTCTAGGAGCGTGGGCTTCAGTAGCTGTGGCATGCGGGCTCAGTAGTTGTGGCTCATGGGCTCTAGAGTGCAGGCTCAGTAGTCGTGGCTAATGGGCTTAGTTGCTCCGCGGCACGTGGGATCTTGCTGGACCAGGGCTCGAACCTGTATCCCCTGCATTGGCAGGCACCACCAGGGAAGTCCATATATACATAAATATACATATATATATATATATATATATAAATATCTGTTCCTAGTTTCTGACACAGTGCTCCTAAAACCCTTATTAATCTCCTGAGTGATAGGGTTGCTAGGAGTATCTTTTTATTTGGTCTTTGACTCTGGTTCCTGACACACAGTTCCTAAATCCCTTGGAATTTCCTGGGTGGTAAGAGCGATCTTTGTTCTAATGAGGTGACTCTGGATGGGGGTTGGTCCCCAGAAAGACCAAACCATGACCAGAAGCTTGGAACTTTCAGCCCCACCCCCACCTCCTTCCGGGAAGGGAAGGGCTAGAGATTAAGTTAATAATTGATCATGCCTACGTGTTGAAGCCTCCATAAAAATCCCCGAAGTACAGGGTTTGGGAAGTTTTCAGGCTGGTAAATACATCCATGACAGGAAGGGAGTGCACCGCAACTCCATGGGGACAGAAGCTCCTGTGCTCAGGATCCTTCCAGACATAGAACTAACTAAAAGGGCACCTGGCTATCCATCTGTATCATTTGTAATATCCTTTATAATAAGCTAGTAAATTTAAGAAAATGTTTCTGAGTTCTTTGAGCCATTCTAACAAATTATTGAATCCACAGAGGGTGTTATGAAAACTCTTGATTTATAGTTGATTAGTCAGAAGTACAGGTGACAACCTGGGACTTGCGATTGGCATCCAAAGTGGCAGGCAGTCAGTCTTGTGGGACTGAGCCCCTAACCTGGGGGGGTCTGTGCTAACTCCAAGTAGTAAGTGTCATAACTGAATTGTTGGACACCCAGTTGGTGCTGGAGAGTTGAAAAACTGGTTGATGTGGGAAAACCCGTACACATTTGGTATCAGAAGTATCAAGAGTAGAGAGGAAACATTAGTGTCTTTCCTTTAGTTGGTGTCATAAGAGTAGAAGAGAAGAGTTTTTCCTGTTAGAAATACTGGAGAAAGAAAGAGAAAGAGAGAGAGAGAGAGAGAGAAAGCTTTACCTTATAGTAATAAACAAGGTATGATGGAATTAGAAAAATCACAATTTGCCAACCATCGCAGTAATAACTGATTCAGGCAACTACCATCGAAAGATGCTAATGGGTAAACTTCTGAAGAGAAGTAGAATATTATACTCTCAAGTACCTCCCCACAAAATAAGAATTAATAAATACAACATCATTTTTCATTAACTTTATAGTGGAGAAACCTAGCAGACACACCTTAACCAGTGATAAAAAGTTACATCACCAACCAGGGACTTCCCTGGTGGTCAAGTGGTAAAGAGTCCACCTTACAATGCAGGGGACATGGGATCGATCCCTGGTCAGAGAACTAAGATCCCACATGCCACGGGGCAACTAAGCCCACGCACCACAACTACTGAGCTCGAGTGCCTCAACTAGAGCCTGTGTGCCACAAACTAAAGAGCTCATGTGCTTTGGAAGCCATGCATCACAACTGCAGAGCCCACGCATCCTGGAGCCTGTGCGCCACAACTAGAGAAGAGAAAACTCGCACGCCACAACTAGAGAGCAGCCCGTGCACCACAATGAAGATCCCACGTGCTGCAACTAAAACCCGATGCAGCCAAAGATAAATAAATTAAATAAATAAATAATAAATAAATCTTAAAAAAAAAAAGTTACATCCCCACCGATGGGATAAATCATCATCCTATGTCACCCTCTGATAGGATGCACTAAGAAGAACATGGCATCACTTCAGAGGTATTCCTGCCAAAAATGCATAAACACAAGAAAACATCAGATATACCCCAAACTGGGAAACATCCTAAAAATGTCAAGATCATAAAAGATACAGAAAGGCTAAAACACTGTTCCATACTGAAGGAGATTAAAGAGACAACTAAATGTAATACATGATCCTGAGTTGGCTCTTGGACCTATAAAGGACATTACTGGGACAACTGGCAAAATCTGAATGGGATCTGAGGATTAGTTGGTAACACTGGATCAATGTTAATTTTAACTGTGATGGTGGTAGTATGGAGAGTTTCCTTGAATTTAGGAAATACACACTCAAGTATTAAGGGATTGTGGTAGGCAGAAAGATGTCCACATTCTAATCCCTGAAACCTGTGAGTTTACCTTAAATGGCAAAGGGGAATTAAGGCTGCAGGTGAAATTAAGGTTGCTATAAGCTCACCTTAAGATAAGGAGACTATCTTGGATTAGCTGGATGGGCCCAATATAATCCTTTTAAAGTCCTTAAAAGTGGAAGGGTCTGGCAGAAGGAGGGAGTTAGGGAAGAAATGTGACAATGAAGCAGGTTCAAAGTGACAAGATGGGAGAACTTGACCCACCATTGCTGGTTTTGAAGATGGAAGAAGACCACAAACCAAAGAATTCGGAAGAGCCTTCAGAAGCTGGAAAAGGCAAGGAAACAGATTCTCCCCTAGAGTCTCCAGAAACGAATGCAGCCCTGCTAACACCTTAATTTTAGCCCTGTAAGACATGAGCCAGAGTTTGACCTACAGGACTGTAAGATAATAAATGTGCTGTTTTAAGCTACCAAGTTTGTAGTTAACTTGTGACAGCAGCATTAGAAAACTAATACAGGAATAACGGGGTATCATCATCACTGCACTTGTTCTTAAATCATTCAGACATGTTATAACACATTGGGAATCTGCATAAAGGTATAGAGGAACACAGTGCACTACTTCTGCAACATTTATGTAAATTTGAAATTGTTTCGAAATAATTTTTTTAATTAATAGGAATTACATTTTGACTTACCAGAATTTTCCAAATAGCAGTTTTGCAGGCTAGATTACCCTTCTAAGGCCAGAAGAGAGAATTTAGTCATCTTGTTATAAAAAAGGCCTAAGGGAAATAATCAGGGAGGCTATGGGCCAACCTCCAGAACTTTTATCCACTACTACTAAATTCCCTGGTTCCAGAGCCCTTACCTGTAGATAGTGACATGGGGAGACAAAGGACGGTTTGAACCAGTGTTCTTATTCCAGAACCTCTCCATCTCTTCTTTGGCTGTGGTTCCCAAAGGAACAGCACTAAAATAAAACCAAAAGGTTTTAAAATGATTAAAAGTAAACTTGGTTTAAATTTTCACATAACAAAAAGTTAAAATATAAAAAGGTAAGCTGGGCTAGATGAACCTATGTATTAGGAAAACATGTTTGTCCGCTCACCTTATCTTTCTGCCAAGGTTGACTCAGTTATTAATAACCTCAATCACCCAATGAGGTCATATCAGAGGATAACTCTTCTTTCCAATCCCCCAACACACAGGTCCAGTAATGGAGGCTAAACTTCTTTCTTGTTGGGCGGCAGGGCAAATATAATATTTCAAAACCATTTACATAAATGGATTACCCTTTTCCCAGGCCATGAGTGATATCTCATACATTACCACCTGCTCTCATCTGGCTCTTCAAGACTCCTTTTTAGGTTCTCAAAAATCAAGAACTGGATTCAGCTCAGTACCTCTGAATAGCTTCTTGGTTTTCCTTGTCACTGGGCTAGGCTGAATCCAACTGTTTTATTCTTTTTCTTTTCTTTTTACTTTTTTTTTTTTTTTTTTTTTGGCTGCACTGTGGGGCATATGGGATCTTAGTTCCCCCACCAGGATCAAACCTGCGCCCCCTGCAGTGGAAGTGCAGAGTCTTAACCACTGGACCGCCAGGGAAGTCCCTGAAGCCAATTGTTAAACAGCTGTGTTCAACAATTTAACTTTCTAGGTGCCTATATTAAACATGATCTATCCCCCTCAAGAAAATATTTCCCCATAGATTACTTATTAATTGCAAAAGTTAAAAACAGTAACTCCATACTGGGAAAAAACTTAGCAGACATTTCTGTATTCAAATGATCAAAGTTAAAATCACTAATGGGACAAATGACATCATATGCCCCTGATGTGATGTACTGAGGATACAATATCATTTATGTACTACACTTGCCAAAAATGGATAACCTGAATCTAGTCATTAGAAAACAATCAGACAAACCTAACTTAAGAGACACTCTACAAAATAACTGACCTGTATTCTTCCAAAATGTCAATGTCATAAAAGACACAGGGAAGGCTAAGAAATAGTTCCAGGTTAAAGGGTACTACAGAAATATGACGACTAAATATAATATGTGAGCCTAATTAGATCCTGGATGGGGGACAGGTGGACTATATTTCTATAAAGTACATTATTTGGGACAAATGGAAAATCTGAAAAACAACTGTATATCAGATAAGATTACATCAATGTTAAATTTGCCAAATTTGATAATTGCATTTGTATAATTTTACTGTGCTTTATAACATAATGCTCTTCTTCTTAGGAGAAGTTTTTTTTTTTTGGCCACATCACACGGCATGTAGTATCTTAGTTCCCCAACCAGGAATAGAACTGGTAGCCCCTGCAGTAGAAGCTCGGAGTCCCAACCACTGGATCGCCAGGGAATTCCCTTAGGAGAAGTTTTTAGAAGTAAAAGGTCATGATGTCTGCAACTTAATCTAAAGAATTCAGAGAAAATAATCACAATAATTAAATTGTGCTGAATCACACTAAATTGTCAATACTAGGCCAGTTCTGACCCACAAAAATGGCAATTTCATATAGCACAACCTAAAATATATAGAGTGATAGGTAAACACAGCAAAATGTTAACAACTGATGAATGCAGGTGAAAGGTATACAGAACCTCCTTGTACTATTCTTCCAACTTTTCTGAAAGTACAAATTATCAAAATATTTCTACTATCTCTCTTTTTTTTTTCTTCCGGCAGTACCACACAGCTTGCGGGACCTCAGTTCCCCGACCAGGGATTGAGCCCGGGCCGTGGCAGTGAAAGCACTGAATCCTAACCATTGGACCACTAGGGAACTCCCTGGAAGTACAAAATATTTCTAAAATTAAACGTTAAAAAAAAAAAGAACCACAAAGAGACAATTGTTGAAGTCACTAGACTAGAAATGAATATAGCAGAAAGAAAGAGATATAAAGACTAAGGCCTGGGAGCTGCCCAAAATGCAAATCAATAAAGTTAGATATAGCAGAAAAGCTTAAGGTGAGGAAAATTGAGAAAAAAAACAAAGATATATTCTTATTCTTCCTTCTTCTACTACCAGATGAGAAAAATAAGGACCACAATCACTAAATTTTCAGCCAACCATCTACAATTACCTGCTTTCGTACATATCCCCAAAATATCAGTCAACAACCTACTGCTTTTCCCTGATGAAAAAAAGGTTAAATAATAATAATCTCCATATTTAGAAACTTACTTTCTGATACAGAGCAGAGGACTAAGGTGGGCACGGAGGCAATGATGGCCAGCACGTCTGAAAGATAAGAGAACCAACAGTCAATACACATTTAGAGATGTACTTCAGTATATCAACTTCTCTATTTTTGTACTGTATTAGACTCTGGGTGGAGGGGAAAATTAGGAATAAGATAAAAACAATGACAGTATCAGGATCTTTGAGATTTTTTCTAGTTGGAAAGCTGCAACTTTAAATAACTTGAGAATAATCACAAATATTACTCACAAATGCAAAATAAGGTTTTAGCTGAACACAAATAATACAAGGTAAAAGAATAACCAGAGTTGGTAATGTTCAACAAATAAATACAGAAAGCAAATTTTTTCAAGCTAGATCTTAAAGGAGGTGATGTTTAAAAGACAGGGGTTTAAAAAAAAGAGAGGGGGACTTCCTTGGCGGTCCAGTGGTTAGCACTCCTCACTTGCACTGCAGGGGGCAAGTGTTCAATCCCTGGTCAGGGGACTAAGATCCTGCATGCCATGAGGCATGGCCAAAAATAAAATAAAAAATAAAATAAAATTTTAAAAGGGGGGTGGGTACAGATTAAGCCAGTGGCAACACCAAGTACTATACCACTTAGCAAAAGCAGACAGCTGATGCAAATGGATGAATTTAAAAGGTTTAAAGAACAAGGGGTTTGAGGAGGCAGGGTCCTAAGTATTAAGCTGTCATTCTAGGAACTACCAACAAGTTCCAGACAACCTGGATGAACTTTAAGTGAAAAAAGCTGTCATATAATAGTGCAAAAAATATGAGAATGTAGATTTCTTTACTACCCACATGAAAAGGTACTTGAAGAAGGTAACACAAGTTTTCTACTAAAAAGTTGCTATTTTTGAAATGTATATATCAATACCGGAACTGCTTTTCAAGTCTGAGACTAAAATGTAGCCAGGCATTCTATCTAAAGAGAATTTAACTGATCCAGCATTTACATGGTATTATGAAAAACACATGATCACTACACCCCTTTAACTCACGTTATATCGAATCTTTCCAAAGGTATTTGAGAAAGTTATCAGAATGAAGCTCTGGGACCAAATACATTGAGATTCTACAAAAGTTTATTGTATATACACTATGTGCAAGGCACTGTGGGGATACAAGATCACATTGAGATCCAATGATCTTCTAAAAAAGCTCATGATGTCCCTCATACCATTGATATTAGATGCATAAATATTTCAAGAACCTTACACTCTACACTAGAACACTATAAGGGCCCACTATTTGAAGGAAAAATAATCCAACCAACACTTCCTTCAGCTCTTCCCTCTTTCCAGCTTTGGAGGCAAGAGATGAATACAGACATTGTGTACCCAAGGCTCCCAGAAAAAAAGAAGTGGGAACAAATCTCTTTAAATCAATTGTGACTCTGAAGTTGCAGGGCATGCATTCCTCACACCAGGCTACGTCCAGTCACTCAGCTACCCAGCAAGAGTTTGCAGATGTGGGTTGGAATCTACAGCACTCTCTGTCTAGTGCTATTGTCTCCCAGACAAATACCAATGTAAACTTTCCACAAGGCCCTAACAGAAACTAGTTGCACAACTGCATAACCTTATTTGAAATATGACAAGAGTAGATATCTAATCTATCCTTGCCTTTCATGTGAAACCAGGAACGCTGAAAAGATTTCTTTTTCCACCCAGGAAGAGTGCTTTATATGTTATAGCTAGAAAGTAACAGTACTTTGTTTTATTTTTAATTAACAAGCCAGAACTGATTTCTAGTTAGTGCCTGTCCCTTTCTAAATGCATTATACATGTCTCCCCCAAAATGTAATCATGGCTTAAATTGTTTTTGAAACTCTTCTCTGTACTGACGCAACAACAGTAATGTAACAAGAACACTGGACAAAGTAAAAAAGCCAGACTGGAGGTCTAGATCTGCATAAGTTGTGTAACTTAGTGAGTCACTGAGCTTCAGCTTTTTCATTTATAAAATAGGATTGATAATACCTACATTATTGGTTGTTGGGAGGACTGCAAGAGAAAATGTATAGGAAAGCACTCTCTAAACTGCAATATACCACATACATGTAATTTAGTAATATTTCACTGGTCTCCCAAAGGTCTTTAGAATTCATATCACATTCTTTTTAAAACTCTGCAGTGTAAAAATATTCATCTGCTGAAAATGGATTTGACTTTTGGAAAAAACCAAAAGTTATTCAAAGCCAAGTCTATGTGATCAAATTGAATAAGATCCATTTTTGGTCCAAAACAAGATGTGACTGTAATATGAATTTCTCTTGTATGCCCTCTAAACTTGATCTGATGGCATGTCAAAATTTAGTTTCATAAATGTCTGAGGTAACAGGAACATTAAAGTATTTACATAACCTTGAAGGACACAATGAAGAGCAATCATTTATATACAGAATTTCTGATTAATTGTATGAGCACCCAACTAACTCTAAAGATACAATGTTAAGTCATTCTTGATTTCTTTTCTCTTACATCTCCCCATATATATGCAAGGCATCACCCAATCCTACCAATACTATCTAGAAAACTTCAGTCCATTGTTTTAGTCTGTATTCTCTTCATTTCTCACTAGGACTGTAACAGGAGCTCCTGAATTGATCTCCTAGCACCAATCTCTTCCCTATCATTCAATATTAGCAGAGTTAAATTACTGAAAAGTAAAGCTGACTTCATCAATCATCTGCCTGCAAGTCTTTAACAGTTCCCCACTACTTAGAAGGTTCACACTGCAGTCAAACAAGGCCCTTCGCCACATGACCTGATCCAATTCTCCAGAGCTATTCTCCCACAAGCTCCCTTCAGCCCTCTATACTTCTACCACACTGAATGTTACATTACCCCCAGAGCATAGTTTCTTTTGACCACATGCCTTTGCTCAGGCTATTCTCTGAGTGGACCTCCCTAGCAGCCTGATAAAACTCATCCTTCAAGATCCAACAACTCCCAAATGGCAACTTCACCACTCCTTTAGCCCTACCTGCTGCACCTGTCATGCTCCCACATCACTTGTTCATATCCCTAAATCAACATTATGTTGCTTATTAATTAATCCATTTATCTCCTTTGCTAAATTTTGAGCTCCTCAAGAATAGAACTGGAATACTCTGCATCTATAGCACCTATAACAATATGACAGAAGAGGCTCAAAAAAGTGATTTGTGAATTAGTATGCTTATTTTAAAAGGCAGTCTTAAGAATTTAGACTTTAAATAAATTAAACCTTGTTTTTGGAGGTGCTTCACACGTAGCATTTAATATGATGAGCAACATTCAGAGGATTAATGACTTGGTGGCTTTGTGCTTAAACTGCATGAACATTACTACACAGAAGCCTAGCTGTTCTTAGCTTAGTTCTCTATCTCAGTCTTGGCTTTGGCAAGTCATTCCCTGACTGACTGCCAATGGAGTCTGTGCTACTTAGCTGGTTATTCCTCCCTAGCTAGCCCATGAACTTTAGGGAGTATACAAAACATAGAGCACTATTCAAAAGCCATGACATACAATACTGTGATAACTAATAATTTTTAGTTAACCAAGCATTAAAAATGTTTAGCCAATATTTCTCTTAAGTGAGTTCAAGTTATCACTATTTTCATTCACAAGTGAAGAAACCACAATCATTCAATCAATGACCTTGACTTGTCCCAAATAAATGGAATTAGTGACACTACTAGAACTAGAAACTAGCTCCTAGAATTTAAGGTGCCCTTTCCATAAGAGTTTTGTACTACCACTAATGAATCCTAGTGATGACAGTCCTACACAGCTCAAAATGATACAGACTGGACATATGAGTACAGTGATCCTTGGTTTCTAAGCGCTAATCATGAAACTCCTAAAATGAACTGTTTAGACCCAATATGATCATTACAAGCTAAACGTTAATTCCACCAAAAAGCCTGTGACATCTTCTAAAATATGATATATCAAAGAATTCAAAAGCATTCAATTATGGTCAAACTACTTGTAATAAAGGAAGCAATCTGGCAAGACTAGCCCTGACACGCTTTAGAAAAAAAGACACAATTGTAAATAAGAGTCAGGGAGAAAAACGAAGGATTAAGATAAACCATTCCTGATCTCAGCTCCAAGAGGAATCATTTTGTCACAGAGAAAAACTAAATAAAGTCCGTCTATTTTTACACTGGGTGATTAAAGTGGAAAGAGAAATGAGAAGACATTTGGGGAAATCAGGAATTAAATCTCAACTGCATTAAAACTAACTTTCCATAACAAATAGTTTCCAAAAATAGTGCTGGCACGAAACTATGCTGGGATTTGTACCAAGAGCGTCAAAAATCGCTATGGCTAGAAAGGCTCTGAGCAGAGAACGAGGCCTTGTCGACAATGGACAGTTCATAATGGAAGACAATCTAGGGTATTTCTCAGGACAAGGAGTTGACACTACAGAGAAAAACCGGGGCATCTATTCCCCTCACCCACCAAGTAAAAAAATAAACAAACTGAAGTTCCTGGCTGCTCTGAGACAGCAGAGCAACCACTATGGGCGCTATTGCTAATCGTCGCCCCGATAGGGGTCTAGGCCTCCTGCACTCTCTACGAGGGGCCCGTTAGGAACTGGGACAGTGCCCACTCATTGCCAGCAGCTGGTGTTTGCAGGAGTAAAACGCAAAGGTAAAGTACACCAAGATCCTTCTCCTCGAGGCCCAAGCCCTAAATAAGAGAAGTTAGACCTACTTATTTTCTTGGAGCTCGGCTCTCGCTGCAGCCACAAGGGCAATCTGGGGAAGAACTATTTTAGAAATGGGGAAAAACTATTTTTAAAGTGGGAAAGCTGGGCTTCCCTGGTGGCGCAGTGGTGAGAGTCCACCTGCCGATGCAGGGGACACAAGTTCGTGCCCCGGTCCGGGAAGATCCCACATGCCGCGGAGCCGCTGGGCCCGTGAGCCATGGCCGCTGAGCTTGCGCGTCCGGAGCCTGTGCTCCGCAACGGGAGAGGCCACAGCAGTGAGAGGCCCGCGTACCGCAAAAAAAAAAGTGGGAAAATAGAAGCGGCGAAAGCCCCGCGACCCATCCTCAAGGAGTAAGGAAAAGATAATCGTCCAGGGACCCCCGAAGCCCTACATGGTGCACAGGAGACGCTAGAGGAGGGGAAGGGTCTCTAGGTTTCCAAAGCGCGTGGCCTCCACCCACAGGTCATTTCCCTGCCGAGGCACGGGGTAAGCAGCTGTTAGCAAGACGTGAGGGGCCAGTGCAGCTCTCCCGAGAGCCGCCGGCACCGACTCCCACCCCACACTAAAGTCACCTCAACCAGAGCGCAGCCATCTTGGGTTCCGGCCTGGACGGAAGTGACGCCGACGGCCCCCCCCACCTCTGGGCGAGGGGAGGGGCGGGGCTTCTGTCACGTGACGACACCAGCTCTTTCAGAGGATTGGGAGGCTCTCCGGATCAGCCCTAGTTCCGACTCTTCGCCTATCTTCTGTGCGCGGTTAGTCTCTGACCCCGCCTCTCTCAGCTGACTTCTAAAAAGTGGTAAGTTTTTTGCAGAGCTGCCGCTGGCTCAAATTCTGCAGTCTACGTTTTACCTTTTTGTTTTTAGAGGTGCTTCACAGGTAGCACCTCTAAAAACACTCATTTTGTTTAGCACCACAAAGCAGACGGCTTTCCCAGGTTGTTCAGTGAGGACTTCTCAGTCTAGTTTCACGCCTTCCCCCTCCCAGGTGGGACTAAAAAGTATTATAGGGTGACTGAGACATGCAGGGAAAAAGATACTTTCGGCTTGCAGCAACATGGATGAACCAAAAGATTATCATACTAAAGTAAGTCAGAAAGAAAAAGACAAATAACATATCACATATATGTGGACTCTAAAATATGGTACAACTGAATTTATTTACAGAACAGAAACAGACATAGAAAACAAACAAACATAGTTACCAAAGGGGAAAGGAGGAGGGATAAATTAGGAGTTTGGGATTAGCAGATACAAACTACTATGTATAAAATAGGTAACCAAGAAGGTCCTACTGTATGGCACGGGGAACTATATTCAATATCCTGTAATGAACCATAATGGAAAAGAATATGAAAAAGAATATATATATGACTGAATCGCTTTGCTGTACACCAGAAATTAACACAACTTCGTAAATCAGCTATACTTCAATTTAAAAAAAATTTTTTTGTAAAGATACTTTGGGCTCCTTCCCATTCTTATGTGAACCGTCTTCACCAATACAGAGATAGTGCACAAGTTGAGATCCGTGGGGGAGAGAACCTCTCAGAGCACCATCCGAGGATGGGGAGCGTCCTCTAACCACCTCGATTAGCTTTATGTCTCACAATTCCTGGGCTTGAGCCGCTGCATGAGCTAGATGCCCACTAACCAAAGACAACGCTCCCTTGTTCCTTGTTTCAGGGCTATGTGGGTGACACCCACTGCCAGAAGAACCTGGGGTAGGGGTGGGGGAGAACTTGCTTTGATTTATATACATAAAAACAGTTTTGAGGAACCCAAGCACAGCAATCACTTCCAGAGCACTTATAAGGGAGAAAACAAGCAAGTGGAAAGGAACGGAAAAGCGCAAAAGTTCTTGAGCCTCTTTTGAGGAGGAAGCGTGAGGAGAAGTGAAGCAGACAGCCAAAGCAACTCCTGTTCAGCAATAAAAACATATTCGTTACATAAATATTCAGATCTTATTTATATTTAGCGCTTATGTACTTTTCCTTTCAGGACTTAAATAGCACAGATTTATTTATTTCTACATCAAATGAATATACTATTTTGCATTTCTATAATGCTGGCAAAGAAAGCACTATAATAAACTTCTGGACTGGAAGGGACCTTACAGGCTCTCCAGCCCGATTTTCTCTCCAGTGTAGGAATCTCCTCTGTAGCGCTGCTGACAGCTGATTTTCAAGAGTGTGTTCTAACACATTCGATAATGGGTACCTCAAAAAACAAGTTTCATTTAGTAAACAATTTAGTCATTAGGAAGTTGTTACATTAAAATATAGTTTTCTGCGATTGATCTTCCAGTCATTGATCTTGCTTTGGCCCTCGGAAGCTTCACATTAACAAATCCAATGAATGTCTCTTTCACTTAGTTCTTCAAATGTTTCATGTAACGTATTTGTCTTAAAACTCAGCTCTGACCATGTAGACACTCCCATCCCTAACCCCAAATACCATCCCCAAACCATCAGCAAAATTCTTATGATGTACCAGATTAAATCCACCCCCTTTGCTCTGTCATTTAAGGCCATCCACAAACTGGCTTCAACTTTCCTGTACAGACTCCTTTCCTCTGATGCCTGTTCAAGATCCCCCAAATCGAGTAAAAATGGAGGACACCAGATCTGCCCTGAATATTCCCAAAACTTCACAAACCTACCCACCACACACACACACACACACACATACACATACACACTTTCTTATCTCTTTGTCTTTGCTTTTGTTGTTCTATCTGCCTAGATACCCTCACTGCCAATTTCTCCTTTTCAAAATGGCATGCATCCTTAAAGGTCGGTCCACATCTAATATTGCCTTCTAGACATGACTCCCTCTTCCTCTGAGCTTCATTTATTAAATGAAAGTTATTGATATTTTTGTGTTTAATCTCTGTTACGTAACTTGATTTTCCTAATGTAGCTCTATGTGCCCTCACTTATACTCTCAGCACTTGGTCATCAGTCTGCTGCATCATGGTTTATTATATTTCATTGTTAACGGGTTTGTCCTCTGATTCTCCCCTCTGCCTCCCCAAACTAAATTTTGAACTCCTTGAAGGAGGATCTTAATTTCTATTCCTCTTTCTATTACTCACATACCCACATATTCACATACTCATGTATGTAGCTGGCTGGCACTCAATATAATTTTGTTGCCTTGCTTTTAACTGAAATGGACTTAAACTGCAGCATGAGGCAGTGAAGGACTTCCTGAAAAAAAGGGAAAGATCAAGGGATTCTTCCCTGGGTATTTTCCCACAGAAAAAAAGTTTTTTATCTGGAAAGAATCACCCAAGATGCAGAGAGATAGGAAAAAAAAAAAAAAAAAGACACCTAAAGGACTTAGTCATCTCAAGAAGCCTGTAATGTAGCCCACAGTAGTGAAGATAACAGGGATATCCTGTTTTGAAAGTTCTCTGGGGGAAACCCACCTCTAACTCCTAGAGCTCTAGGGGAGCCACTCTCAGGCATGGAGGCTAGGGAGGAATCCCTTTTCATAGCCTTAGGATTCAGGTTCCTCCACCCATCTGTCCCTCAGAGAAATGTGTTTGTGTCCCTTTTTCTGTCCCTCTCCCTCACCCCCCCCCCCGACATTCCAGCCTGGGGCAGGGGGAGGCCAGCAGACACAAAGCCCTCAGTGTATGGGGTGGTATGTGTCCCCCCCACCCCTCTACCCAGAGGACACAATGCCCCTTCTGCTCCCTGTGCTCTGCCCCCCTCCTCACCACCTCTCCACTGCACATGCCAGGCTGCAATTGGCTACTGGCTCAGGACAGCCCCCTCATACCGGGACCCTGGGGGATTTTAAGCGGGTTCCAGGAACCCCCGCTCAGTTCCTTGTCCCCCACTCTCCCAACCCCGCAGACGCTCCGGGCCCTAGCCCTGCCCCAGCTATGGCTCCTGGGGCTCCCTCTTCCAACCCCAGTCCTATCCTGGCTGCGCTACTCTTCTCCTCTTTGGGTAAGTTGAGCCACCCCAGTCTGGGGGCCCCGGGGCTCAGGTTGTCTCTCAGCAAACCTTCCCCCTGCCTTTGCTGTGCTCCTCACTGCAATCAAAGAAAGAGGCAGCAACAGCAGGAAGGTGATATTCTATGCGGAGAAAAAACATATATGTAGTTTGGAGGGAGGCTGTAAAGGTAAAGGTATTCTGTGAAGGGAAAGGGGACAAGAGTGTAGAGAGCTTCCCTGAGGTGGACCTGACTGGACCCGGGCTGGAAACCAGTAACATGCCCCCAAAGCAGTGGTGAAGGCCTAGTAGGAAGCAATGTTAGAGCTTGGTAAGGAACATGTTCAGACATCTGTGTTCTGGTCCCTACTCATTCCCTAGTCGTGCAGAAGGTACCTTAACCTTAGTTTCCCTGAAGAGAAAAGTCAGGGAATGTGATCTAAGGAAGGAGCCCAAGGTTTGTGGTCCCAACTCCTCCGATCCTTTGTCTCTTGGTGCCTCAGTTTCTCTTTGTGGATCTGTTGTCCATTATGTGGGTGAACAGAGTAGAAGGGAGGTTCTGTGAGATTCTAGGGTCTTGTCTCATCTAAAGCTATCTTCCACATAAGTTGACCTGCCCCTTCCTTGCCCCACGGCAGATGTTGGGTGAGGAAGAGAAGTTCAAAGCAGGGTTATCTGAACGGATTGTTCCCTTCTCCAAACTGCCCTGAAGCCTAGTGCAGTGGGTGAGAAGTAGGGCAAATGAGGGGAGGGGAGGGAGGGCTGGTTAGAATGTCTGAGATTCTCTGCGGTCAGCTCCTTGAGTCCTAAACCTAGCAGCTAGACTCTTCTGGACTGAGGTATCCTGAGAAAATGTTAAGGATAGGGAGTTGGAGAAGGGCGTGGTGAGGGAAATGGGGAGAGGGGATCTTGGAGTATAAGAGGGAGAGAAAGTTCTGTCCCACTCATAGCACCATTGAACAGAGCTGAAGGGCAGTGGTTGATGTTTGAACAGGAGGAATAGAAGTTAGATCCAATGAATAACCTTCCTTGTTACATTTGGGATACCCAAGAAGGCTCGAAGGCTGAGTCCCAGGAGGTGAGTCATTGGTATTGCATGCTGAGGTGGGAGATTTGGGACTATGGACCACGGGCAGGGGTGCGGGGGGCAGTGAGGGGAGGGGAGGCATGAGCCCCCAACACTGGTCAGTGGTCAGACAATGGGTCTCTATTTATTTGATTGCTTCCTCCCTCTCCCATAGAACAAAAGGGTCTACAGTTGCCCCCAGCCAGGGCCAGCCCACACACATAATCTCCCTGGAATGGCCTTGTGTGGGTGAGTCTTGGGAGTGACACTGGGCCAAAAGGGCCAAGAGGAGGGTGAGGAGGGTCAAAGCAGAACCACAAGGGGCTCAAATGCAGAGTCATCTGAGCTTTGGGCTTGGGGGTCCTGCTCTGAATCAAGCTTCCCCTGAGAGGGATATGAGGTCCTTCCCTCCGTGACCCCCCAGTCAAGAGCAGCTGTATGGCAATCAGGGATTCAGCACTGAAGACAGCTGGGTCAGGGAAGAAGACTTACATTCTCTAGTTATCTTCAATTTTTCTGCAAGACATTTGAGTTTGTTGTACTGTGAAATACTATGTAGCTGTTAAAAATAATATTGATCTGTACGCATCAAAGTGGAACACTCCCAACAGATACATATATTCTTTTTATACATATATTCTTAAGCAAAAAAAAAA